TTTTTTTCCCTTTAAAATTCTAATTAACAGATAAATTTTATAATAAAAGAAATTTTATCTTTTTGTGTCCTAAAAATAGCTCTGGGGTATCAATTTTTTTTTTAAAAGCTAATGTATCATAATGAAATTTTTAAAAATAGAAAATATCAAACTCAAATTTTAATATAACAGATACTGATCTTTTTTTCCCTTTAAAATTCTAATTAACAGATAAATTTTATAATAAAAGTAATTTTATCTTTTTGTGTCCTAAAAATAGCTCTGGGGTATCAATTTTTTTTTTAAAAGCTAATGTGTCATAATGAAATTTTTAAAAATAGAGAATATCAAACTCAAATTTTAATATAACAGAGTTTTTTTAATTTAAAAATAATATGATGGAGGCTTAGCTGGCAGGAAGCAGCAGTTTTCTCGCACGCAACAACTCTAACGTTCTCTTCCTTCTATTTTTTTTAACAAAAAATAATAATAACAAAACTAACTCTGCGTGTTATGCTAATCCCAATATTCTCCACTCTCCTCATTCCTCACTGACTGTATTCCCATATCTCCAAAATTTTCTCTGAAACTCAAAGAAACCTTTTTTTAATCTTATTAATTTCTGAAACGCAAAAGGAAGAAACAGAGTGATATATATAAACATATCATATGTTAATGGGGTTGCTTAGGAAGAAGCAAGTTGATTCCGTTGACCACTTAAGCCGAGATAAGGGTCACCATCAATTGGCCAAGAAGTTATCTGTTCTTGATCTTGTTGCAATTGGTAAAATCATCAAATCACCAACTTTTTCTTCTTTTTTCTAACTTTCGTTGAGCTGGGTTTGCTATTTTCCAGGATGCTTCTTATGTTTCTTTGGGATTTCTGGGCTTTCTTAATTTTTAACGTTTCGTCTTCACCTTCTATTTATTTTGATTGTTTATTCATTTTCCTGTTAGAGATATATGATGGGTTTTGTAAGAACTGGGATTTTTATAAGTCGTATATATGGATGAAGATGTTCATAAAAATGATTAATTTTTCTTGTCAATGTTAGATTGGTATGTTGGAGAGACTGATCCTAATATGATGTTAGCATCGTGAAGTATTAGAATATAGGAAAATTTAGTGATTCTCCCACATGCTATCCATTTGGCACCATCAATAGCATAAGCTAAATTATATCAGGTTTACTTTCACTAGTGTGCATGATGTTCTGAGAAGTAAATTGGAACAAACAATTGAAATAGCATTTTGTTTAACATGTTTAGCATTGGAGCAAAACATAAAATTGGTGCGCTAAAAATATATGCTTAGACGTGAGCTAGTGCTTTGTTTCCCTCAAGAGCATGTTCATTTTTAAAATGTTTTTAACTTGCTTTTGATCAGGTGTTGGAGCTACCATTGGAGCTGGAGTGTATATTCTTGTCGGAACAGTTGCTAGAGAGCACGCAGGACCGGCTCTTACCATATCATTCTTAATTGCTGGTATAGCTGCTGCACTCTCCGCATTTTGTTACGCTGAGCTTGCATGCCGCTGCCCGTCTGCCGGGAGTGCTTATCACTATACATACATATGTATTGGAGAAGGGTAATTAAGAATCTTTCTGATTATTTGAATATACTTGTTCCATTCGATCTTCACTCACTCGAAGACCAACACAACGTCTTCTTTGGTAGGAGTGAGAGGTAGATAACGTAGGTGAGGGAAATGGAAAGGGTGGGAGAAGTCCTTTCTCTTATGGTATTTGGTATGACTATGAAAGGAAGGGAAGAAAGCAAAAAATCACTTATGCTTATTTAGTTTGTAAACTTACTATTGTATCATTAGTTTGTTTGGTTCCCTTCAATAATGAGGGGTATAACTTAGTTGATCAGTTCCATCCAAGAATCTCTCTGAGTAGGAGGGAGCAACATTGGGGGTTCTTTGAAGCATCTGAACTAATCTATTCGCTCCTCTAATCCTTCCAACCAGACATTCATAGGTCATAAAATCCTTCCACTGATCCTCTCACCCCGTCCTGCTTCTTAGCACAACACTGCGTACATCTTGGTAATTGAGCTTTGTGATGGTTTTTGTTCCTTCTTTCCTCATACTAGAAGAACTTTTTTGGGCTATATAGGAGCAATGCAATGACCGAGGTCATGATCATTGACTTTATTTGACGTTTGACGTGTTCAGTTAGTGACTACGATTTCCTGTTTTCTGCAGTGTTGCTTGGCTGGTTGGTTGGGCTCTAATATTGGAGTATACTATTGGTGGTGCTGCTGTAGCTCGTGGCATAACTCCAAATCTGGTATAGCTGGGCTTTGTGTAATTTTGTTTTTGTTTTTGTTTTTTTTGTTTTTTCCCTGTTTGCCTCCTTCTCTGTACTGTATTTCTTTCTCCTTTCTAATAAAATTTCTGTTACTTGTTCAAAAATGAATTTAGGCCTTGTTTTTTGGAGGTGAGGGCAAGTTGCCTGCTTTCTTGGCTCGTCATACGATTCCTGGACTTGGTATTGTGGTTGATCCATGTGCAGCACTATTAGTCGTAATAGTCACAGTTCTCTTGTGCTTTGGGATCAAGGAGGTACCTTTTTCTTCTTAAATGTATATTTCACCAATTTAACCTCATTGTTTCTTACTTTCATCCGCATAAACTTGATCTTTCAGAGTTCATTGGCTCAAATGGTTGTTACAACAGTTAACGTTGGTGCCCTGCTTTTTATCATAACAGCCGGTGGATATTTGGGATTCAAAACTGGATGGACTGGATATAAAATTCAGAGCGGGTAATTGTTGTTTCATTTTATCTATGTTGTCTTATACTTGTACATCCTGTTGTCATTCAGCTTGTTGTATTTCGTTTTGATTGTTTTTAGGTATTTTCCCTTTGGAATAAATGGGATGTTTGCTGGATCTGCGATCGTCTTCTTTTCGTACATTGGATTTGATTCAGTTACTAGCACTGCCGAGGAGGTACAGAATCTATGTAACATGTTTCTTTGTCACCCTACATCTTGAATATCTCTCACTTGCTTTTATTGTGATTCTCTTGTATGTGTAAAACAAACATTATTGTGATTCTCTTAAGAATTAAAGAAGCAATCTTTGTCTCAATTATCTTTGCAGGTAAAGCATCCCCAACGAGACTTGCCAGTTGGTATAGCCATTGCATTGACTATATGTTGCGTTTTGTATATGCTTGTGTCGGTGGTTATTGTTGGCCTAGTACCATACCATGCATTGGATCCAGACACACCTGTTTCTTCCGCATTTGCTAGCTATGGAGTGCAATGGGCAGTGTAAGTATGATAAAAGTGATTATTGTCATTCAACTATATATAATAAAGTGTTGTTTTTTGGGATTATCCTCCAAGATGTGTTTTTCCTTGTAGGTACATTATAACGACAGGAGCGGTTACTGCTCTCTTTGCAAGCTTGTTGGGTTCAATTCTTCCTCAGGTATACATGTGTTATGTTCAGCTTATGATGTAGCATATCGACGAACCACCTGATATGGAATTTTATGGAATTTTAGTGTCATTGACTCCATTAATACAGGGTCTGAACTTTTCATGAATTGTGTTAAATAGAATTCATACTTGGATATTTATGTTGTGCACTTTATGATATTTTCTGTCCTAGAGTGGTATCCATTAGATATGGTCTGAAAAGCAATTTTGTGAGAAACCACTGAGTATTATTTGTTAGTTATTTGCCAAGTATCTTTTGTGAGCATGTACAGCACTCACGTATATGAAAGAAAACAATTCATTAATTTTACCCATTGCACCTGTAACGAATCTTTTGTTTGCTTGATTTGCAGCCAAGAATCCTGATGGCAATGGCTAGAGATGGATTATTGCCATCATTTTTCTCACACATTAACAAAAACACACAGATTCCTTTGAAGGGCACCATTGTAACTGGTATCTTTGCGACGGCACTGGCCTTCTTTATGAATGTTTCGCAATTGGCAGGGATGGTAAGTTAAAACCAAGTTAACCAAAGATAATGGGAAGTTAGAACATAAAAACAAATTTTGGTCCACCTTTTAACAGCTAAAGTTTTTGGGAGTTGTAAACTAAGATGAAATAAGAGCCCCTGCAATTGCACTCTCTTATCATCTCGGTCAGGCCTTTAATATGTTTTAGGCTTATAGTTAAAATTCTGATAAGAACTGGACTTCAATAGAGAAATTTGAACAGAAAAAAAAAAAGAACTATATTGATGAAATAATAGAAAGATTACAAAATAAACCCTAACAGTGGCAGTATTCGAGAGACCACCAACTCTCCTAAGTTTTCCCAGATTTCTTACAAATCAGACATGACCCCTCTAACCACTATTCCCTCCCTTTTATACTTCTCATTCTCTTCTAACCACTACTAGCAGCTAAGACTAACAAAACCAACACCTAAAGCCATCTAACAATGTTCCTAACAGATCACACTCTTACTAACTAACCAAACTAACTCCCAGGACCCTATCAAATTCGTGTGTTGGGCCTGTGTAATTCGTCCGCACGGTTGCCCTTGTCTAGCCCACATGTGAAGGAGTATTAGAAAATGATTATCATTCTGTGATGTGTTATAGAGTATAAGCATCTCGCACAATAGGTCTTTTACAATGAATCCAAACATATATATCCTTCTTAACTTTTTGACTATCCATATTGTATACCTATTTCCATAAACAGGTTAGTGTGGGTACGCTGCTTGCATTTACCACTGTGGCAGTTTCAGTTTTGATACTCAGATATGTTCCACCAGATGAAACACCACTTCCATCATCACTACAAGAGTCCATTGAGTCAGTTTCATTGAAATATGGCGATAATATTATGGAAAGTGACAGCAGAATCATCCAAAGTCCTGGCTCCTGTGAGTGGGACGATCGACATTCGCATGATAAAGGGGATACACAACTCGTTCGTCCTCTAATTTGGAAAGGCCCGACCCAAGGTAATACTTCTCACTTGCTTTGTAATGGAAAACGTGTTTGGTGGTGGGAGGCTTGTGGTGGGATATATATGATATCCTTGTTTTGGGTTCATTTTGTTAATTAAACAGAGAAAAAAAGTGAACAAATGAGGCGGAAAATTGCTGCTTGGGCCATAACCTTTCTCTGCATAGGGATTCTTGTCTTTGCATCTGCGGCTTCAGCCGAAGGTCTTCACAGGTTTGTTATCTTTCTTTTTTATTTGACATGTGGATAAAATGCTCAAGATGTGACATCAAACTGATCCAAATTATTCTACAAAGCATTTAATGTTCATATTGTTTCTTTACTGTTTCTGTTACTTTTCTTATTCATGAGGACACCCTGTCCCCTTTTATCAGCACTGTTTTTGGTACCATAAAAGGATGCTTCTTATTGAAATACGCGGGCGCACATGCACGTGCATTAACATGCTTCACATGCAACGGATGAATGAACAAAAGAAGAAGCTTACGGCATCTTTATTTGGAAAAAGAAAAAATTACTTATGATATTGATTGGGATCTGGATCAAATGTAATATACTTCCATTCTCACATATGGTTTCAGAACTCGTAATTCTATCCCGACTTCTTGATTATACCAGCACTCTTCGTCTCACATTTTGTGGAGTGGGCGGAGCTCTTCTAGTGTGCAGTTTGGTTGTGCTGGCATGTACACCGCAAGATGATGGGAGGCACAGCTTCGGTCACGCAGGAGGTATGCTTAAGATATACCAAGCAATGTTTAACTTGATTTATTTTCGTGGACACAACAGCTTGTTAGTGTGTAAATGAAAGAACACGTGATTAATCATCTAAAATGCTAAGTGCTGGGAATTTTGTGCCAAAACATTTATCTGTTTTTGTTTTTGAATCAGTTGGAAGAAAACAATGTGAAGAGAACGCCTGAACTATCTGGATAGTGTTCACTAGATCCTCATTTTCAGTTTATATTTTAAGCCTTATCTGCCATTTAAGACCTCAAGAGCTCCATTCCATCTGGAATTTTAATTTCTCTAGAAAATTTCCTGATGATCCTCCAGTGGAGGACAAAATTGATGCAAGTACAACTTTATTTTCAATCTCAATTCGAAAATTTGAGTGTCTTTTGGAGCTGCTAACCATGAATCACGAGTTTTCTTGATGAAATAGGAAGTTTTTTGCAATTGATCAGTGAATGGATAAATTATCTGATTGTTCTTAATATGTTTTGGATGGCATTTGGTTTAGCTATATCTGGTTTACTTATTGTAATGCATGCAACTGTCAATAGATAAACCTGATAAGTTGACATCATTATTCTTTTCTTTTTCCAGGTTTCGCTTGCCCATTCGTTCCGTTCTTGCCTGCTGCCTGCGTTCTCATTAATACCTATTTACTAATCGATCTCGGGTGAGCGTCAACGACTTATAAATCTCCAACATAAACACACATAGAAGATGATTATGTTTGTTGAAAAAAAAACCCAAGTTTTTCAGGTGTCATGTTGTGTTCGCGACTAACATCTATTGCCACGTTTTACATTCTTAGAGCCGCAACTTGGATCCGAGTTTCCATATGGTTGGCAATGGGAGCATTGGTGTACGTGCTTTATGGACGTAAGCACAGTTCATTGTCGAAAGCAGTTTACGTTCCCTCAGCTTACGCAAACGAGATATACCTTCATTCATCGGGTTCTCTGGCCTAGTCTTTTTTTTTCTCTTCCAGAGGGCTGTCTTGGATGTCTTCTTTAATATCATTTATAATCTCTATATTCTTTGGGTATAGGATAACATTATGGAGTTTGCATTATTAATTGTAATCTCATTAGAATTATAATAATACATTGTGTGTAAATTAAAGTGTAACAAGTCGAATAAAGGATTAAGAAACAAATAAATAATTTACCAATTTTCTCTACGCATGGCTTTTTGTTTATTGTATATGTCTTGATAACATGGCTGCATTTCACAAGGGAAATTAGGCCGTGGATAAATATAACTAGGCAGTGAAATTATATAAAAAGGGCAAATTAAGGTGCAAGGAAGACGAATAAAAAAATATAAAGGACAATCTTTCTGCACAAGAATATGCTTTTTGTGGGGAAAAAAACCCTATTGCATAGAAAAATGAAACTAAATATTGTTCTGGTCCCATGTAGAAAACCTTGCTAAGAAGAAAATGTACAATACGATGATATTAAGCACCAAACAACACCAAAAACTAATAGGAAGTGAATCGTACAGTATAAGGTTCACAATAGAATTCATCATTTTCTGTTATGTTGATTTTTTTTTTTTTTTCTAAAAAAAGAGTATTATTATGTTGGAAGAGGTTTGGTGTAGATATGCTAGGTTGTCACTTGTTTAGTGAATTTGTTGATGTTTTATATTGTATAATTCCTCATATGGTAGTAATGAGTTCTTGCCGTAGACCATCTGTATTCATCAATTTGCAGAAATTAAAGATTCAATTTCAAGAAGTAATACAATTAATAAACCCTATTTATATATATGCAGAAATTAAAGATTCAATTTCAAGAAGTAATACAATTAATAAACCCTAAGTTTTATATATATATTTTTTCTTGTTATAATTGTGTGCGCTATACAGCAAGGCCGAAAGACGATCCCTATAATCAACTGTTGCAGATTTGTGTGGAAGACCACGGCCTTTTATGCGAAGTCGTCGAATTGCGGCGAGGAGGAAGGTTCGACGATAAATGGAACCCTATTGTCCTCAAAGACGTCCTCCACAGAAGAGGAGTGACAATTGAGAATTTGACGAAGAAGATCGAGAAGGACTTTGGCTGGGTCGTGCCAAATTGTGGTGGAGCTCCGAGACTTGGCAACTGCCAATATTACGACCACGACCGCAGCCACGACCATGAGAGATAATTTCAAGCGTTACAAATTAGCGAAGTTGGCTACCTGAAGAAGATCATGATGTCATCACGAGCTTCGTGGCGAAACCTAACAACATTTCATGGGGTGGTTATATGACACACAACACTAACAAAGAGACGGTCACGTACGCGACCATGCAAGTGTTTCTTGCATCCCGAATGGGAATGCAACTCTTACGAACTCTTTCGTAGTATCATGCCTAGGATTACCATATTTAAGTTTAACAGACTCTATAATTTTTTTTTTATTTTTTTTTTACTTTATTACATTTTTAGTTTGCTTTCAGCGTTTAATTATTTTTGCCAGCATATATGTATATGTATGTGACTTAATTTTGTTTGATGTTCTACCCGGGGTTATGGGTCTTTTATGTACTCTCTCATATTTTTCATTTGCAATAAACGAGAAGGAAAAAAAAAACAAAAAGAAGAATTAGGACCACAAAATAGTGCTAAGTACTCCATAGAATTTCTATGGCCAATGATTTCAAGGCCTTTATCCAATCCAACTTACAACATTGCTTCCTATTTATTTATTGAAGCTCAAAAGTGCATTCGATCTTTTAGATATCTTTTTAGATGTCTGTCTGTGTAGCTTAATATATTATTATTGTTATTTTTTTTTTTCCTTTGAGCATTTTCTTCCAAATTTACAAGTGAAATCAATTGTTTACAGTTGCCTGAAAAACTGGGTAGGTGTAATTAAATTGGTGTATACACCGCATTTTGATGCTATGTAATATACTTTTCTTCAAGAAAAAGTTATATCTTATTATATACATATAACTTCGTGTGGGGCTAAGGAAAAAAGCGACGAGATGTCTTCGGAATGGGGGTACTGTACATGCCCACAACGTCCAATATTATATACATTACATCTTCATTCCTAGAATAAAATCCGATTTTTAAAAATGGCTTGATTTGGACTCAGAATAAAATTTGCTTTTATGTCACCTTTTCTTTTGAACTCAAATTTCTTGTCTAATTTTATTGTTTCAATTAATATTTAACTAATCATATTATATTACGTCGTGTAAAAAAAAATTTAAATTACTTTTTAATTAATTTTTTTATACTTATTATAAAATAATGCGGAGTAATTTATTTGATTGGACACTAATTAAGACACCATAAAAATATTTATGAAAAATTGGCGCTCATGTCAATTCTTGTTACGTGTGAATTGTGATCTATTTCGGCTTTCGTTTTTATGAAGAAGACAGCAATATAAAAGCACTAATTAATTTATATATATATATCTATCTATTAGGATATATGAACGAGTCAATTAGGAGCTTGCTTCTTTCTGCATCTTGCTTCAGTTTGACCTTTTCATGATGGCTTTTTTTTGGGAGGAATTGGGATATGACGAATTTAAATAATTTATACATATAAATACTAGTCGTGAATTATAATAGTAATTATATCAAAACTTAAAAAAAAAAAAAAGGTGAAGTCTGCAAAATTTAAAAAGACGTAACCATTTTAAAACTATTAGGGTCATCTCAATTGAAAAAGAATAAACAAGACGTGGTCTTGTTTTTTACAACTACTCTGATGATTTGAATAAAGATTATGGTGTTTAAACTAAAATTAATTTTTTGTCATTATCTCAGTGAGTTCCTTTACTCACAATTATAACATCGTACCATATTATACGTAGCTCAATTATGCTAAACATGATTAATTAAGCCAATGTAATGTCAGTTTTGATTATATATATTTGACGTTTTAGATTCAAGATTTTTGTTATTATCATTATCGTTATTATTATGATTATTATTATTATTGTTTGCTGAACATTCTAGCTTCTTTATTTTTATTTATTTATTTTTGCATTTTTCTATCTATTATTAAAATAAAATAAAGAGAATTAAGGAAAAGATTAATGAAGGGTGGGAGGCGGTGACGCTGAGCGCATGAATGCATGTAATCTGATCAATCTATAAACAATTCTTTAGAGAGAAAAAAAATCTTTGTACAAATTATTTATGAAACTCCATAATGTTCGTCAGACTCCAATTCTCAAGGGACTGATAGATTCGTAATCACAGATCCCAATGCAGAAGAATCTCTCAAATTTTGATGTTAACTTGCTTACGTGAGCCTGTTCAATCTTGTCTTGTGGGCTCCACCTCAGTTTAGTGGGTGGGATCAGTTGGAACACATGGGGCCCACAATTGTTGAATAATGGATAATAAAAAAAGCAAAGTTATTTATTGGAAAAATAAAAAAATAAAAATTTATTGACGAACTCCAACTCCTTAATATGTATGGAAAGATATTGCCATAGATGTAAATTGTAACTAAAAATTGAAAACAAATTCAAAAGCCTTATTTGAATGGTGTATTTTAGGTTTAATGGATATATAAAGAAATTATATGAGCAACTTCAATTACCTCATATTAAATAGTTTATATGAGCAACTTCAAAAAAAAAAAAATTTCTATGAACATTTCATGTAATCTTATCTATGTGGTGGTAGAATCTTATTGAGGAGATAAAAGTTATTTTCTTATTTAAGTGTCTATAATTTTTTCTTAAAAATGTATATTTATCTATGATTATGAGAAGATATACCAATTAGGGAATCAACCATCTTAATATTTTACCTGAAGCCTACCAAATTATTATTTTTAAAAAAATAAGATTAAGAACTAATTAGTTAAAACTTTGGAATATGGATATCCAAAGTATGCACTTTACAAAATTACTGACCAAAAAAAAAAAAAAACAATAATCCATTTACCGACGGCTTGTCAGAAACACATACTCTGACCATAAAAAATATTTTTTTTTTGAAAGGCCATAAAAATATAATTTAATAAAAAATTTAATTTTTTTGGTGAATAATAAAATATAAAACACATTGATTGAAAGCTACAGAATCTCAAACTCCTCACTTTTCTCCCTTGGCTTCCTTCCTTCTCTTGTCATCAAACGAAGAAGAAGAAGAAATTTCCTTTCTTTCTTCCCAGAATCTGCCCGCGACAAATTTTTTTTTTTTCATTTCTGGGTAAAGTGTACGCGGGCAGATTTCTTTCTTCTTCCTTTTTTTTTTTTGGTTCATGTGAAATAATCTTGGTAGGATCAAAACCAGAGAGACCCGCTTGGACAGACAACAAACAATCTTTTTTTTTTTTTTGGGGACCTGGGCAAGATCAAAAATCTCTTTGATTATTGTTGTCCTTTTGGGTGTTGTAGGGAATATTTAAGAATAATTTTTTGTCTTTGTTCCTTAAATTACTGGTGATGGGTATTGTTTCGGTTGATTCACAAGAAGGTGGTGGGCGTTCATGGGTTGGATTAAAGAGTTTGGTGAGGAGAAAACAAGTGGATTCTGCTCATTCTAACTCACGCCCTCATCAATTGGCCAAGGAGCTATCTGTTCCTTATCTTATCGCTATTGGTAAACATTTTCTCTCTGCTTTTTTATTTTTTTGCTTGTTGTTGTTTTTAATTTGTTTAAAGTGGATTTTGGGTTGTTTCTCTTGCTGGGTTTGGATTGTTTTGTGTTTTTATATTCATTTCCCTATGCTTTTGCTCTCAAAGCTTCTTGTTTTATTTAGGTGGCTTTTATAACTTCTTGTATGATTTTTCTCATTGGATAAGATCTATGGTTATGTCTATGTATGCTTTTGATTGAGCTGATATAATAAATTTTTGAGCTTCGACTTTGACATGTAAATTTTTAATCTTTAGTAGTTTGTTTTTCGAAACTCATGGTTGAATTGTTATTCACTTTGATTAGGAGTTGGCTCAACAATTGGAGCCGGAGTCTATATCCTTGTTGGAACAGTTGCTAGAGAGCATTCTGGACCGGCCTTGACCATTTCATTTTTAGTGGCTGGAATAGCTGCTGCTCTTTCAGCATTCTGCTATGCCGAGCTCTCAAGCCGTTGCCCTTCCGCGGGGAGTGCTTATCATTACTCTTATATTTGCGTTGGAGAAGGGTATTTTTCTTATGATTCTGTTGTTGATGAGGTGTTTTAAAAGTTTTGAATCTAAGTTATGATTGACACTCTGTGAGTCAAAGAATGCGCTTACTTTTAATAAGATTATTGTCAAATGGGAGAAATTATCTATTTCAAACTTCTTTTACCTCTTTATGATGAATTTGATCTTGCCAATGCTATGTTTTGTGCTTGATTATTGTATTTGGTGTGTGATTGATACATGAACTCGATGCTCTTCTACTGATCATACGCTGGACTATGAACTTTCACAGTGTTGCTTGGTTGGTTGGTTGGGCTTTGATACTGGAGTATACAATTGGTGGTGCAGCTGTTGCGCGAGGGATATCTCCGAATCTGGTACCCGAATTCTTTTACATTTTCAAACCTTTTAGTATTAGTGTGTCTGAGTGGAGCAAGATTTATAACTATTGCCGCTAAAGTATAACTCTTTGTTGAACTTATTCTATCTGTTCACCGAATATTTTCTAACGCTGCTCTTGCTCCTATCTTATCTGAAAATTATTATGTTCCACACAACATGACCATAATATTTTTCCCCCATTTATCATGATAGTTAAAGGCTCTTAAACATTAATACAGACTCTATCAGATTCATTTTGTAATGAGTATATAGATAATTGATTAGGATCACCATCAATATTTAAGACTTTTAGTTGCCACCCATCTATCGTGTGTTTGTGCATACAAAATTGTACAAAGGAAAAGTAGTTAATATATATAGTTTCTTCAGCAACAAGCACACTAGTTTTACTTTGCTGCCTATTCATTTTTGTTTTTTTGTTTTTCAGGGATTCCTTTTCGGAGGAGAGAACAATCTGCCTGCTTTTCTTTCTCGTCAGTACATCCCTGGGCTTGACATTATGGTCGACCCTTTTGCGGCTGTTCTAGTACTTGTTGTCACTGGGCTATTGTCTGTGGGAATCAAGGAGGTAAATTGTAATTTGAATGTTCACTTTTTTGCCTTTTGTTATCTCAGTAGTATTTGTGATCGTTTTCCTTCTTTTTGGTGTGAAATTGTTTGTTTCTATCTCCCTCCTTTGATTACTGCTTAAGACACACAACTTTTGTAGAGTACACTGGCCCAAGCGATAGTGACAACAGCAAATGTATGTGCGCTGCTATTTGTCATAATAGCAGGTGCTTACTTGGGCTTCAAGACTGGATGGGTTGGATACGAACTTCCTGTTGGGTACACTTTCTTAATTATGGTTGTTTGTACTTCTCTACATTTTCATGTAGGTTATCATTTAGTTAATTTTTCGTTTCTCTTTCCTTATTGTTTGAAAAGGTATTTTCCCTTTGGGGTAGATGGGATGCTTGCTGGGTCTGCAACGGTGTTCTTTGCCTACATTGGTTTTGATTCAGTTGCCAGCACTGCTGAAGAGGTAATTTTAATTTTTAGTTTTCATTAACTTGCTTTACTCTTCCTAGTGGTATGCGTGGAAGAAATTCCATTTTTATGAGAGATGTGTGGGGTTGTGACTTGAAAGGAAATCTACTTTTGCATTTATGTTTCTTGTTTTTCCATAGGTCAAAAACCCTCAACGAGATCTGCCGCTGGGTATTGGCGCTGCACTATCCCTTTGTTGTGCATTGTATATGTTGGTCTCTGTTGTTATTGTGGGTTTAGTCCCTTATTATGCAATGGATCCTGATACTCCCATTTCCACTGCATTTGCTAGCCATGGGATGCAATGGGCTGCGTAAGTGTATAGTCTTGATTTGCTAGAAACTTTTTCGAAACCTTTGGGACTTGTAAGCTTAGGAGACATTTTTCTGCTTGTGGTTGAAGGTATGTGATAACTGTTGGAGCGGTTACTGCACTCTGCTCAACATTGATGGGTTCGCTTCTTCCTCAGGTATGTTGATTAGTTCTTTAAGTACTTTTCCTCTATTACAATTCAAAAGTAATTGACAGTCACTGTCACTGCCTTTTTTCCCTCCTCTTCAGCCACGTATTCTGATGGCAATGTCTAGAGATGGGTTGCTGCCAGGATTTTTTGCGGAGGTTAACAAACGCACACAAGTTCCCCTCAAGAGCACGGTGGCAACTGGAATAGGGGCTGCAGCATTGTCGTTCTTCATGGATGTTTCACAGTTAGCGGGAATGGTATGTTGCATCCTTTTTTTAGGATAATTATTGCGCCCCTTTCTGCTGCAATGAATACAGAGAAGCATGCAAGTATGGTAGTTTCAAGTAGTAGAAAGAGCACTGCAGATTAGGTTCACAATGTGAACAGTAAATCACACTAATCAATGAATACACTGATATAATTGGCTTTTTTCTGGAACATTGATTATGATCTTCTTATCTTTTGTTTTTCTGCAACTTATCTTTCTTATAACAGATAACTTAGATAGTTAGTTTAACATTTAGGAATCTCAAGTGGTAATTTTACATCATGTTAATCATGATGGCAAAAGTATGAAGGGAGACCACTTGAATGTTTCGCCAACATATATTTCAAATCCAAATAATTTGCTGAGCACACGAACTACCATGTTGTTGAAGCTCTCCAAGAGTAACATAGGATATTTATCTGTTAGCAGAAACTACTATACACATCTAAATTTTTTTCTGGATTGTAGCCAAGATTCAAGAAATATATACATATATGTGTGTGTGCGCATGTGTATTTTAATGAATTTGAATTACGGCAAATTTTGCAGGTCAGCGTCGGTACACTCCTTGCATTTACTATGGTAGCAATATCTGTATTGATACTCAGATATGTCCCACCGGATGAGATGCCATTGTCATCATCACTTCAGGATTCGTTTGCTTCACACTCATTGCAGTATGGTAGGAGTACTAAGGGGATCAACGGGGAAGATCCTGTGGTTATCGTCGGTTCTTCCAAGGATAGTACTCAACCTCTACTTGAGCAAGTGGACATATCAGTTGAAATTCCTCTGATATCCAAACAGCTAAATCTAGGCAATTGTAGGTCCTCTACACTCATTTCTCGCTGCATGGATTTGCCATGACGTACATCCGATGGATGTTGTTATCGTATATTGCTTTGTTTTCAATGAAATTGGCCGTATTTAGGCATTTCTGGCTTTTGGAAATGTATACACTTTGTTTCATGTTGTGTAGTTTTCCTTTCTTCTCTGGTTTTTTCGGAAGAATGCTTTATGTAACCTACATGTCGACCATTGCAGATGTTATGAATGAAAAGAAAAGGCGAGAAATTGCAGGCTGGACAATAATGTTGACATGCATTGGGGCCTTTCTCCTAACATATTCGGCTTCAAGTTTGGGCCTTCCCAGGTAGGTTGACAGACATTAGCCGCTTTTCCAAAGGAACCTTGTAGTTCTGTTTGTTCTGGTTGACCTGGGAGTTGAAACAAAATTGTTGCACTTTCTCTTCTTTTTTCTCTTGAGACTTTTTTACAACATTGTTCTTTTGTCCAGCTTTCTTCGTCTCACACTCTGTGGAGTTGGCGGCATTCTTCTTTTACTTGGCCTGATCGTGCTGACATGTATAGATCAAGATGACGCACGGCACAACTTTGGACATACAGGAGGTATGCTCACTATAACTTCATGTTGCTCACCATAAGGGGTACCGACTATTTTACCAACGTTCTTATACCAATTAATGTAGATGCAACTTTTGAATACGAATTAAGGTGGCAGTTTTTTTAACACTTACCAATGAAAGAACACGTCAAATGTGTATTAAAAAGTTGGAACTTCTAAACTTGTACTTGGGACTTATCATCATATCATTTGTAGTTGTTTAGTTTGAAATGCAATTTTTTACTCATCGCGATCTAAGGTAAAATTTATCTGTTGACAAAGATTTTTTCTTGGTTCCTTTTTTCAGGTTTCATTTGTCCGTTCGTTCCATTGCTGCCCATTGCATGTATTCTCATCAATGTCTACCTCCTAATAAACCTCGGGTAACTATCAAGCCATGAGTCCATTTTCTTTCTTTCCTTTTGCATATTTTATGCAACCATTTTTTTAAAATAAATTTTCGTTTCTGAGTAAAATAAAAAGGGAAAAGAAATGGAGCAATTGGGTAATGGCAGCATGGCAATGAAATAGCTGTTTTCTTTTTTAGTTTTTTTTTGTTTTTAATAGAAGAGATTGTCCTTAGAAATGGGGTTTCCAGTGTTGTCTAATTTTTCTTTCAAAGACAAAATCACTTTCCTTCTTTAATGCAAATTTGCCTTCCTTATGACATGCAGAGCTGCTACTTGGTTGCGAGTTTCGGTATGGCTAGTCATAGGGGCATGTGTCTATGCATTCTACGGCCGTACGCACAGCTCTCTTCGTGACGCAGTTTATGTCCCGGTAGCACGTGCCGATGAAATCTATCGCAGCTCGGCAAGCTATGTGGCTTGAACACTGTTGTGGATGACAATGCATGTGTTGTCTGGCTTGTAGAAGATTTTTTTTTCTTTTAATTTAAAGTGATAAGTTCTACATGAATTTCCGATCACGCATTATTTATTTGTTTTTTAATCTCTTAGAAAGGACTGAAAAAATTTAGTCCTCCAGTGTATGATAGATGTTGTTTATGGTTGTAGCAAGGGCATGCTCCTGCAATGTAAATAGCGTCTCCAATCAACAAATTCTATTTTATTTATTACAATAAAGCTCTCTCCCTCTCCCAATACAATACCAATTTGTAAGGTTGATTTTTTTTTCCTTCTTTTTTTTGGAAAAGAAGGAAAAGAAAAAGGAAGTCTCATGTGTCAATGAAAATCTAGAGATCACGTATGTGCTTTTAAATTAGAGGGTCTTTTCCCATTAAAAAAAAAAACAAGTAAAATACGATGTTTAACCTTCAGGCTCAATAATATTTACAAAAATATATATTTTTTTTTTCAGATTGCTAATCCTTTAAAATTCACCTTTCGTGTGAGATTCTGTGAAATAAGATTTGGGATCCTTGTTGACAAGAGAATTTATAGTAAGGGTATATTCTGAAGTTTTATCTTAGTACGTATTCTGAGTTAAATATTTCATTGAATTTTATGAAAGTACGTATTGTGCCACAATGTCTAGGGGGCGTTTGGTATGGGGTAATCATAGGGGTGAGAATAGGAATCTTTCAGATTCTCATGTTTGGTACAATTATTAGACTTTTTTAAAATTTAGGAAAGTGAAGCCCATGGGTTTCACATTACCACATTTTGAGAAATGGCTATTGATCCTTATGAAAGACAATTGGAAGTAGAAGAAGGAGAAGAAGAGGAGAGTGAACAAGAAGTAGAGCATTACACACATATTGAAACATCCAATGCTTGGACTGTATGGAGAAATAACATGGCTAGGGAAATGTTTGACCAATGGCGGGGAAATCACCATTGATATGGTTTTTGTATGACATTGTTGTTGTGATTCATAATAAATATGTATGACATTACTATTGTGTACACAGAATGGATGCTAATGTAAGGAAGCATCAATGGACTACATTGGAAGATTCAAAGCTAGTAGAGTGCTTATTGGATATGGCTAATAGTGGAAAATGGAAAGCAGATAATGGTACGTTCAAGCCTGGTTACTTACAACAATTGGAGAAAATGATGAATGAAAAGATTCCACAATGTGGGCTTAAAGCACAACCACACATTGATTCTCGTGTGAAGATATTGAAGAAACAATATCATGCCATTTCTGAAATGTTGGGCCCTGCCGGTAGTGGCTTTGGTTGGAATGATAAGGATAAATGCGTTGTGGTTGAGAAAGATGTGTTTGATGAATGGGTTAAGGTTAGTATTTTTTTATCCGGTTATAAATTTCAAGTTTCAGTATTATTAGGCTCTTTTATTGTTTAATTTACATTCCATTTATATTACAGAGTCACCCATCTGCGAAAGGCTTAAGAAACAAGCCGTTTCCTTATCATGATGAGTTAGGACTAGTGTTTGGAAATGATCGCGCTAATGGACAAGGTGCAATGGGATTGACTGATATGGTTGATGACATTGATAAAGAAACAGTAAATGATCTTGATTATGATCCCTTGCTTATGTCTGATGAGAACATGGATACTGCAAGTATTGGTGGTCCTAGCGTACAAACAACTTCAACACCATTAGCATTAGGAAGGAAAAAGAGAAAGAGATCACAACGTGGAGATGTATTGGTTGATGCTTTAACTGAGATAGTACATAAGTTTTCTGATATGTATGCTATGGCTGGTGAGAATATTGGCAGGCTTGCTAATTGTTTTCAATACGAGGCTGATGGTGCTGCAAGGAGGATGCAGGTGTTTGATGAAGTAAAGAAAGTAGAAGGACTAACAAATGCACAACGAGTACGAGTCGGAAAACTTCTTGTCCAAAACCATGACTACACCAACTATTTCTTCACGTTGGATGATGAATTTAAGTTAGATTTTCTTCTATCTCTTTTGGAATGAGTTAGGTTGAAGCTTTTAGTGCTATATTTACAAACTTGAGTACATTGTCTAATATTTAGATCTTTTGATGGCATCTTAGAACTTTTATACGTGGTCTTAGATTTGCAACTTTTAATTTCAGGTTTGGAACCTTATTCGAGCATACGTTCTCATATTTAGAACTTTTGTAAGAACTTTTGAGTATAGAGGATTTTATGGACTACTTGTTCTCTATTATTTGATATGTTCTCTATTATTTGATAATTTTATGAACTACTTGTTGTGTTGTATTTTATACTTTTTAAAATATTAGTACTAATTGTATTTCATTTAAAAATAATATATATTTTTTAATTCACAACATTCTCATGCACAACCAAACACAGTAATGTAATATTCTTGAGAATTTGTGAAAGATTCTTGTATGGAACCAAACACAGTAATGTATTATTCATAAGAATCATATTACCCTCCATCACTTTTTCGGGAATATAATTTCTACTGATTCCCACATACCAAACGCCCCTAATGTTTTATCACAATATCTAAAGTGGCATTATGTGCAAATGGAGCCATTTGGAAGAGGGGGGATGTGTTGCGGGTTTGTGTGCGGAGTCTTCGGGATGAAACGGTTTCATAAACTTTTCGCCAACAAGACCAATTCGAACTCGAGCAATAGCCTTTGCATTGGGCAATTCCGATAGAGCGCCGCGCAAAAAGGATAATTAACACTGCTATGCCGACGGCCGTGACCGCCAAAGAATAAGGAGACTCCCATGGTAACTCAGAACCTGCATGCACAAGGAAATTGGAAGTTCTGAGCGGCAAGAAATACAAATGTGGAAAAAACAACTCTCGCATACTGGCATTCATCATAAAAGTCCAAGTATAACAACATAATTATCAACACGCTACAAAGCAATAGCAAAAAATAATTAATTGATCAAGTTCAACGACACTCTAATCAAGCTTTCAGTGACTTTAGATTGAATAATGAGCAGTGTGAATGGAACTTAATAGGGCTACAACTGGAAGTTATGTGTTTTTGTATTAAGCACTGGATAATGGTTCTTTGCTTAGACAGAATGTACAAAATCTTTTAAGATGCTTCTCAAGCTGAGTTGTGTTCTTGTGAAAAAAAAAAAAAAGAATATTTCCAATTTTCAACAGAATTTCTTTCTTTCTTTCTTATCAAAATTAAAACTAAGGACTAAAACTGTTCTTGCATTACGGATAAAAAAGATGAATCTAAGATGAAACAATCATGTATACTATGATGACGATCACTAACAAACTCTAACGATAATTTAGACTAAATATTCATAGCGACGAGAAATGCTTAAATCATCATACTCATCCTACTAAATAAGGTTGTAATTAAACACGTAAACCTAAATAGTAATGTAGAAACATGTGTACTAGGTTCTAATTAAAAGTAGTTTTTTTTTTTCTGGTAATTTAGGGTAACATAATTTAAATATTAAGGAAGTCTCCATAATTTCAAAAGATTATAAACTAATTAGGAAAATGTGTAGCGTTCGATATTCGTAATCCCTTCTAACCATAATCCTTTTCTCATCCCTCCAACTCTCTCCATTCTTTCTCTTCTTCATCTCCCCAACATACAGACTCTTATGTGTAACTGCATATAATATCAAAACCAAAGTTTCAAGCTTAAAAAGGGAATCCTTTACTTCCATGAGTGTATGCTCACCCTTTTTTTTTATTTTTTGAATTTATGGTAGTTTCCCACGGACTACAAAGAATGCACAAAAGACATATACTACAAGTGATAAATATAGTTTCTGTTAAGAAATTAAGAAATAGAGTTTCTGTTAAGAAATTAAGAAATATAGTTTCAAACCATATCGTTGCCTTTCTCATCAGCTGAACTTGAATATGAAGAATATCAAAGCCTGTTCTCTAGAAATAATCACTCTCAGGTTGATGTGGTTAGATACTTATATAGTGGGACCTATCGAAGTGTGGGTAAGGCATGATGAGATGAAGGGTCATGACAAAACTAGTAGTTATACCGAGCTAGGATCTATTGGTATAGGAGGGGCTAAATTTTTTTTTTTAATCAAAATTATACTAACATCTATATATGTAACAGTTTCTGTTTATTAAATTCATAATATATGAACATATGAGAACATCAATATTATATCTAACTAAGAAAACGTGTTACTGTCAGTCATATGCAATTAGAAATAAGAATAATACAAGAAAGAACCTAAAATTAAAGTGTTGATCTTAATAAAGTACTCAAAACACCATTTAAATAAAATAATAAATAAATTTTCAAATTATGAAAAAAAAACAACATTATATATAGGTCATTTTTGAGCATGAGTTATGCACATCTGTCATAAATAATTAAATGAGAAATATTGAAAGGAACATCAATAAACGACTATAGAAGTGGACTTATAATTGATAATCTGATGATCAAGTCGATAATTAAATGAGAAATATTAAAAGGAACATCAGTTTATGTACTTCTATCCATGTGGGGAGGAAAGAAACGTTTGTATTTAGCTACAAACTTTATTTTGTACATTACAGGAAGTTTTGCCTTTTTATTTAATGGAAAGTCTAGGTATTTGTTTATCTAGTTCTAATGAACTAACATTAAATTTTGAAACATTAACTAATCAATCGTATTCTGTAACACACGAAATGTTATTCTATAAAATTTCCAAATCCCAAACAATTCAATTTAATATTGAGAAATATTAAGAACATCAATAAACGACCATCGTTTTTAATATGAATAATAAAAAATAACAGCCGATTAATATTAACAATAAAAACAACAAATGTGTATATTATTATTCAATATTGTGTGGTTCGATATTTTCCACCATAGATTGTATGTGCTCTTTATAGCAGATACTGTCGTTCCTCTTAAATTTAAAAAAAAAAAAAAAAGAAAAAAAAAAAAAAAACCTGAAGTCTGTACATATTATTAGGTGTCTTCTTTTGTTTCTTTTTCTATTCCTCCTTTTTTTTTCTCAGTTTTTCTATTCCTCATTTAGCTGAAATGGTCTTCCCCGTTTCTTCAAACCATTACCAAAACGTTGCAGTAATGAAATAAAGTAAACACCACTCTCTCTAGAAAAGTAAGAATTTTGCATAACAAGTTGGAAATTAGAGCGGATCCAAGTACGTAAAATAAGTTGGAACAAATTACTTGGCAACAATCAACTAATTAAAACAATCTTCTCAAAAATCATTACTCTGGAAAGTGAAAAGTGTCTTTACATACTCCCTAGATAGAAGGTTACAGTGAAAAAAATGCTTTGATAGCAGATACTTCGGACACCAAAAACTATCAAGGCATTCCCACAGAATTTATCCCACAACAATCGCGGGTCTACTTACTCAAGAATCAAAGGGTTTCACTCAATACGATGTTGATCCCACAATCTTCCTTTCCAAAGAGCACAAGTTTACAGATCAACCTACATCGCAATACATGATGTGCCACGGTAAAAGTTCGATGTTTTCATAAGATGCAGCCTTCCAGGTGACAAACTTCCTAATGAAATCCCTGTCACAAACATGTTGAGTCATGGCCAATTAGTAGATAGTTGCATAAAATCATACAAGCTTCTAAAACTTGATCGTTAGAACAGTAATAAAACAAAGAAAATACAAAAAACCTGCCATGCGTGTGCGTTCCAAATAAAATAAAATATTCAACCTTACATTCTCAATAGTTACAATCCCTTTAGATTGCCTATCCCGTAAAAATTTTACCCTTGGTGCCAGATTTGTTAAACTAGTCATGAATGTCAGACTTCAAATAAGGTTTGTTGTACTTGTGTGGAAACAAGTTAGTAAACAATAAACCTCAAATTTTGCCTAATTCTTTTTTTTTTTTCTTTTTTGAAAAGGTGTCAAAAGATGGGAATTTTAAAGGGATTGTAGTCTGAAAGCATACTTGTATAAATTCCAAGTGTGCAAGGTTTGAACATTGCATTTCACTTCAATCACATGGGAGAATTTTGTACTTTTCCCCAAAGCCGTCCAAAGAGTTTAGCTCAGACCACTAAGTTTCTAGCAAGAAAACTGGGAAAGGAATAAGAACTAAAGAACAGGGAGCTCTTACCATGCTGCTTCTGTTATGAAGGTCGAGGCACAGCCATTCTCACCATGAGAAATGAATCCAACTATTGCTCACTAGTAAAGGCAAGGATTATGTTTATTATCCAATATTGGCCTCTTTGTTCACTATGCTAATGTCATCCTTTCCAGCAATGCTACTGACTGGTTTACCACCACTCTTCCTCACCTTCTCTTTGTTGGTATCAAGCCGACCTTTGCCGGGGGCAACCGGTTTTCTGATAAACTTCTTTTGTGGGAGAAGAGTATTTTCTGATGAACTACTTTTGTTCGAGCTCCTAGCTTTTGTTGTGCCAACTTTAGCCTTGGCCTGTTCAGTCTTTTCTTCCATATTTCCCCTTGCAATGGTCACCACTTTCTTAGGTGAACCTTCATCACTTGTTTCTTCTGAACTGGAGTTATCTGGATTTGTTTCAGGAAGTAGAGCTCGGCGACTAAGCCGAAGTTGTCCCTTTTCATTTACCTGCAGAACAAGCCATGGAAGTAATTATCAGATATTCCCCAACAAAATGCAAGGAGCATAATGAACTTGTAAATAAGGTTTAAAAGACGAGTATCATCAACTAGGACATGCAGACCATTAACTACTAGAAAAGGATCTATTTCCCGACTCCAGCTACAATACAGTAACTGTTCGAATAAGGATAACATGATGCTCTGACCCGAGTATTTGGAATTGTTATGCTATGAAAAACGGAAAAATGTCTGCGTGATAGATGTATAGACACACTTGCGATGTCACCAAAAGAAGCAAACCAAGGAAAGGGGGAGAAACCTTCAACCAGGAAGCCTTAAAATAAACCTGCCGAATCTAATAAAACAAAGAACAAGGAACTAACAATGCACATAATGGTAAAGAAGAGTAGATTAATACCTCAATGAGTTTAACATCAATACGGTCTCCAACTTTAAAAGCCTGAAAAAAAAAAAAGAAACTAATCAAGCACGATCTCCCGATATAAAATTTGAAAGGAACTAATGTGAATGAGGATCTGCTTACATCTTCCGCCTTTGCCAGCCAATCTGAACTCAACTCGCTGATATGGCAAAGTCCCTAAAAGAAAAATGAGAATGAGATAGCCTTGTCACTTTCCAACTCACATCAAATGGATAGGAATATTATCTGATTAAAAAAATGGTTTAATTATATACATCTTGTTAGTTTACCAATCCATCCCAAAAGCTTAAGCTATTAGGAGGTGGGCAACAATAGTTTAATACTTTAACACTCCCCCTCACGTGTGGGAGGACAATGGGCAATCGTGCGGGTAAATCAATTAGAAAGCCCAACACATGAATATTTAAGCGCGATATATATTAAAGACCCAACACATGATGACAATTTTAAATGGGGATAAAGAGTGCAATTACGGGGGTTTGAACCCAAGACCTCCTGCTCTGATACCATGTTAGTTTACCAATCCATCCCAAAAGCTTAAGCTATTAGGAGGTGGGCCAACAATAATTTAATACTTTAACATATCTATATTTACACATATAATGTGTGTGCGCGCGCGCGCGCGTGGCATAAAGAGCAAAGTGAAAAGGATGCTAATGATGCCTACCAACTAATCAAAACAGTGCAAAACTAAAGGAACTTAACACCATTCTCCCAGTTACTAAAGAATGTGAAAAAAGGAATGGTTTTCTAAACCCTTTAAAAGTAAAAAGAAACCATCAGTGATTGAGAGCAATGAATTGTACCTCTCTCCCAGGTGCTATCTCAACAAAAACTCCGTAAGTTGTTATTGATTTGATCTCACAATCCCTGATAGTAGGTACAAAGGCAAGAAATTCCAACCACTAATCAACTTTATAATCGACAATTAAAAGTCCACAAAGAAAACATCCTGTTTCAAATAAGCAAGATGCAATGCAAGTATAAACACATAAATGTTGCCCTTCACAGACTCATGGTACAGAGGCAACATTCAGGGAATCTAAAACTTTAAATGGAGATAAAGAAAAAAAAAACTATATTTCAAAAGGAATCAACCAAAAACAGCTTTTGCCAACCACTGTTAGGCCACAACTTTTGCTTTGTTTTCTTCTCATTAACAGAGTGATATTTTAAAATAGTTTTTTTTTTTGCTGATCAATATTTTAAAATAGTTAGTTACTAAAAGAAGTGTTTTAATTTTGCAAAAGAAGAGAGAGATAAGAGCGCAAAAAAAAAAAAAAAAAAAAAAAAAAAAGGTGAATAGTTGATACCTATAGATATCACCTACAGTTGGAACCATCGTCAAATTACTTATAATAGCTTTAGACTTCTCCAAACTTGACAAATCCTTTGCGGTAATTTTCACCTGAAAAGGCCATATATTTTGGTATATTATGATAGTCAAAAATGTTATTTGATAAAAAATAAAAAATGCCCAAATAAGGTTTCCTTATGATCTTACTATCCCATCATCTTGTGTGTCAATAGCCTCTACTCCTGTCACTTCTATAATACTCTTTACCTTCTTCCCACCAGGGCCAATTATTAGATTTATCTTCTCAGGCTTGACCTACAGTTAAAAAGGACAGTAAACAAAACGCATAATACAGATATTATAAAATGGAGAAGAAATATGGCCGCGTAGCAATGACAAACCTTCATGACATGAATAAGTGGAGCATACTGAGAAAGCCTTCTTGAAGGTGGAGGTGAGCATTTCAACATTTCAGCTGATTTTTTTTGTCCCCAAAGGAAAGAAAGACGAGAAGATGAAAGTCAAAACAAACTTCACCATCAAAGCTATATTACAAAATAAGAAAACATGAAAGGAGACTAAAAATATAGGAAATGTAACTGAATTCACCACTCATATAGAAAGAACTGAACAGTCCGAGACAAATTCATTATTCATAAAAGCATTAAAAGCTCAAAATCATACAGCATGCGGATCTCAGTGAACTTTAGACTCATGTTTTGTTAAGTTACCAAGAATATGCTTCCGACCATCCTTTGCCTGTAGAAGTGCCTTTCTCATAATAGGCAAAGTAATTCCACCCACCTAGCACGAAAGGTCACTGGTTATTTTTCACTTCTAAGAATACTTAACAGAGAAGATGAATTTGAATGAAATAATATGTACGTAGTTAAAGAAAATGCTGTGCACTTTGCTCACTAGCATTTACCTAGTTGGGTAAATGGCTAAAATTACTTGACAATAAACAATCTTCCAATAGAAAGGGTACTACAGACCTTTATGTCCATCTGAAATGCAGTTACACCATCTTCATTTCCTGCAACCTGTAATTGCTCAGTTATTCTCTACATTCTGCTTCTCAACCTTATACCTCATATTATGACTTACGAGCATTTTCAGATGTACATGAATATTACTCGAGAACAGATAAAAGTTCACTTGAAAATCCATATCTTGGCATGATACCTTAAAATCCATATCTCCAGAAGCATCTTCAGATCCAGTTATATCAGAGAGAATAATCGGGCTACCATCACCTCCAAATTCCTTGGTGTCCAAAACCATGCCCATCGCTATGCCAGCAATAGAGCACTTAATTGAAACCCCAGCATCCTGCAACGCTAAGCAGCCCCCACAAACTGATGCCATACTGTCATAGAAGTTACGAAACGAACTTTAATACTTAATATAGACAGGTTAGTAGTCTATATACATTTCAACACGGAAAGGACCTACCCATTAAAAAATATTCCTAAAGGAATTGATCATGCTGTTGTAGCTTATCTAAATTTATCAATAACAAAAACTTAATTGAAAATCAGGGATGGTAACCTTGAGGAGCCGTTGCTTTCGGTGATGGTACTCTCAACACGTATGGTGTAAGGAAAATCACCCTCAGAAGGCAAGACTCGTTCAAGAGCTCTCTCCGCAAGCATTCCATGACCAATTTCTCGTCTACTAGGAGCCCCAATTCGCCCAACTTCCCCAACAGAAGAGGGAGGAAATGAATACTGAAAATTTAAAACAGTGAGTTATGAACGAGCAACTAGGTTAAAAAGGTTTCCAAAGTAAATGTATAAATAAAGAAATGAAAGAATATCTACAAATTCAAATATAAAGGAAATAATTTTATTGTTAGTAGACTCATTGTAATTCAGTCATTTCAAGCCATTCACCTAAATAAAAAAAAAAAGAAGCAAGAATAGCATAACGCAATACCAAAATGTGATGGTTGCAATGAATCAAGATAGCAAGATTTCAAGCCCCTGGATTTTTTAAATTTTTACTGGCAAAAGCAGGTCAGTGGTACTTAAGATGAAGAATAAACTCTTCCCTGTGGGGAGTGGAGGATTAAGTTTCTTATGCTTTAACTTTTTCAAGAAAGCCACATACAAAAAAACTATGTTTTATAATCAAAATCTGTGTGCGCGATGGAATGCCACTTCTATAAATAAATACTTGCTTCATCATTAGTCCCTAAAATATTTCCTGAACTCAAGAACTTGTTCTTGGTTATTCCTTTTATCAACAGAAGGGGCACGTGACACCAACATTCCATGTTTGTTAAAGGTAAAATCATAACTCCACAAAAAATATATAAAAGCAAGCGCCAACTTTCCAAAATCTTTCACGAACTGCCAGGCCATATTATGTGCCATAAAAACCACTCTTTGTAACCAAAAATCCTTGGGGAATCAAAGCCCAGATTTTGATGCATCAGGCAAGCTTAACAGGAAGCAAGGGGTATTTTCTAAGTTTTTCCCCTTCCTTTTTCTTTTCCTCTCAATTATTTCAAATATTCATCACAAAGTGGATTATGTGCACATGGAGCAATTTGGAAGAGGGGGGATGTGTTGCAGGTTTGTGAGCAGACTTTGCAATTACGACGTTACCCCTAACAAACAGGGCACTTCATGTTGCCTGCCTTTTCAGGCAAGAAGTTGATAGAAGTTGGACAAAAGAATTAGCTAACATATAAAGAAATTTAGAGAGTTACATCATTTCTATGAGCATTTATGTTTGTTTAAATGTCAACATTTCACCCAAAGTAAAGAAAAAGGAGGATCACCATTATAAATAATTGACTAAAGGAAAGAAAGGTATAGACCTGAAGATAGAACCTCTTAAATTCATCCACGCCCACAAGATTGTCTATTCTCTGTGCCATCTGCCTATCACCAAGTGTAACAACAGCCAGGGACTGTAAAACAACAAAAAAGGAACATCAAGGGCCAAAAAGACATAATAAAAAGCTTTGAAAACACACATAAAACGATAGGAAGAAGTTTTTGGAAAGAGTCAAAATAATCGTGAGAAATTCCAATTTGCACCCCTAAGCTTTGCTCGGTTTTGCATGGTTCCAAATCTAACAAGACCATCACTTACACCCTCCCTCCCAATTTCCAATTTTCCTAACATACTAGACTAGTATAATTAGTAAGGTCCTGAGGTCCATTAAATCTTATTTACATACAATGCCAAATGATGCTCACGTGAATCATGACCTTAAGGTGATAACTTAAAAACTTCACTCTCACTCTCTACCATCTCTCCCCAGCACTAGCAGGATCTCATTAATCTAACAACCAGCACTCCCGCCATTGCTTGACAACCGAAGAACAACATCACCAAAAAAGAATGCAAAAATAGACTGGTTTCTGGCAGTTGAAGGTAATAAATGAGAGACAACATCCTATAAGAAATTTGGAGGCATGTTTAAAATGAGAATCATTCTCCATCAAACCTGAGTTTCACCACGCGTAAAAAGAGTACTTCCATGAGCCCTTGGAAGTAGCCCACATCTTGAGTTAATTGGACGTATCTCTTCTAGGGTCCGACCATCACTTCTTCTTCCATTCTACAATAACAAAAAGGAGAGCCATCCGAGAAATGGAAATCAGAAGCAGTCCTTTCCAATGCCTCCACCAACATAAGGTGCCAATGTGGCACCAATTTTTGCTTATGGTACATGGACAAATTGATTGAATCAAACACGAAAATTGAAAGATTCCTAAAAGTATAAACGTTTGTTTCTTAGAAATTTGTTTTACAAAACAAATTTGTGTTTCTTCTAAATATATATATATGTGTGTGTGTGTGTGTGTTTCTTATCGAAGAAAGAGTGAATATATATGGTACCTTTCTGTAGTAATTTCAAAATTACCTATTACAATGTTCATACTTGTATTACTATGCCAATAACATTGATAAACAAAAAAAGGAATAAAACCAATATGTTTAATTCAGGAATAAACGGAAAATAATTTTGACAGACATTATAAACCTCAACAACTTCAGCCACCACAAAACAAGTCTTTATTATATTGCTACAGTTAATATCCACAAAAGAAATGTTAAAATTCCATAACTGTGATATACATAGAACTGTTGGCAGTGGCACACACGATTCAGAGAAGAAAATACTTAGTTGAGACAAAATCCATACCTCTACAATGCATCTCCGCAAATAATTGGATGAAACTTCTTTAAATACTAGCTTCACATCTGTCTCTGAGAACAGCTAAAAATTTGAAATTTTAAACAAAAAAAAAGGATGTAACAGTTATTGGTGCCCCAGATTTAAAAAAAAAAAATATATATATATATATATATAAATATAGGAATTAAAGATACAACAGCTAAATGTCGTTCATCGATTAAATTTATGGAAATCATGAAAAAAAAAAGTAAAAAGAACATTGAAACAGATGACTTCAAGTGTAGGGAGTCTTTTCGACAAATTCAGAAGATCCATCATAACATTCCCCGTCATTTCCGAGAGCAGTTTTGCACTTTTCCTCAAGAAATCAATTCTTTGCCATTTGAATCATTGGAATTCTAACATAGCTTTGTTTTCTATATGAAACAAACGTTAAAAATTAAAGAAGGAAAACTATATCTTGACTTAGCACCTAAAGGTCAATCACTAATTTCGGTGTAGTACTCTCGGTTCATTATAGTCATGTGATGACTGAAGTCCAACTGTATATAAATCACATACTTTTAATAAGAAAACTGTGCATAAATTAGATTACAATGGCATTTTAGGACAAACCTTGAGTAAGTAAACAACCACGTCAATACATAACACCAAGTCATCCACAAATTATTGAGAGAAATGCATTATTGCTTAAAGACTTTATTTTAGATGAAAGGCAAATTTTGTCTTATCTCATTAATAGATGAAAGAAAAGAGAAAGAAGATATAGAAAGTTGGGCCATACCAAGCGAGTGGTTCTTCGTGGAGTGGGCTTTATATGAACATCTCCTTCATCCACTTCACCCTCTACAACCACTTCCTCATCCTCATCTTCTTCCTCAAGCATATCAGCTATTGTTTCATTCACTTCCACAGTTGCATCCGGGCTAACGTACCCTTTTTCAGTTAGCATAGTTAAAACCTTTTCTTCTAGTGACGAGAGGGCTTTTCTTCTAGGTATTTTGCTCTTGATCTGAAGGACCTGCACCAGTTCCTCACCAGCAATTTCCTGCACTAACTCATCACCAGCAATTCCCAAAGTTGCATAAGAGCAAATATTACATTTTCCACCGAATTTTGTATGCATGTTAATGACAGTTATTAATTATCATGTTAATGACAGTTATAAATAATAAGTGGAAACTAGAGGATGCCGGACATAGGAGAGAGGAGCGAAACAGAAAGAACGGAAGAGAGAAACATAGAGGAGAGGAGAAATTTTAGAGAGGACATTTGAACTGACAATATCATTAGAATTATGAAGAAATGTAAGTTCTACTCAGTAGTATAATGGAAAGCCATTATTATTGGCCAACTCGAAAGAGATATGAACGCAACTCCAAAAAAATTGTGTATTATTGATACTAACTATGCAAAAACATACGACTTAAATTGTTAAGTGTAGTTTACAGAAATAGAGATAGAGAGGGGGAATGAGAGAGAAAAGGGCAAAAAAATTTAAGTTTTACATAGCTATCAGAACTAAACAACAATATTTTTTAGTGAATGTGGAAAAGTACATACTTCAACGAGCTTATATAGCTCCGGAGGAGGTAATTTGATCGCATCAAACATTTTTGGTTTTCCACACTTCTTTACCAAAGCCTCGACCTCATTGCAAATCACTTGTACAGCATCCTGATCTCAAAGTATAAGGCAAAAGTTTTTCAAGTACGTGTATTCTTCTAATAACTAACTAAAAAGATACCTGTTTAATAAACCATAATTTAATCGAATATAGTAAAATAAATAGACCTCCTAGACATGGCAATTGACAATAGTAATCACTTCAAATGTAATGCATGACACTAAGGAAAAAGAAATATGAATATAGATAGACAACCACAGGACCTAGAATAGTAAATTTAAGAGTTACTTAGATAATGAGACTATCGTCTGAAGAATAAACATACAAATGACAAATCCTTTTATCAGAAATGGACAGTAATGCAGGGACAAAGAACAAAACATCCACTAGAGTTCAGGAAGGAGGAAGAAAGAGCAAATTCTTCATATTGGTAGATATAGAGAACCACAGTACTCAGTTCCATCCCACAAAAGTTCTATATCCTCTCCTATATTGTCGAAATTTCTTTTACTCCTCTCAAGCCAAATAGACTGAACCAATGCCAATGACTTGAACATTGAAGAAAGTGAGAGACTGAGCAAGAGAAAGACTGTCCAACTTTTATTATGGTTGAAAATTTTCTTAAGATTTCATTAACTCTCCAAGTCTTTCCTTAGGAAGACGTATAACTAATTTACTTCTTACACCTCATGAAAATTATTAAAGTACAACTGAATGAGAAAAAAAAAAGTTGGCTTCTTTGGAAAAGTATTGGTATTGAAAACAATGCTTGAAATCTCAAATAATAATGCAAGATGAAAGCTACGCAAATACATACATATATATATATATGTGTGTGTGTGTATTATAATAATAAAAATAAATTTTATTTATGAAGAAACAAACGGTTAGTAACTTCCTTCAAGATTTTAGACTATAACCATATCTGAATGCTAGAAATAGAGCAAGCTGTACAACAAGCATATCCAAGTTCATACCTTCCTTCAAGATTTTAGACAAAAACCATATCTGAATGCTAGAAATAGAGCGAGCTGTACAACATGCATATCCAAGTTCATACGCAGGATAAAATAGCCAAAGCATGAAAAAACTAAACATTATACTTAGAAAAAAATAAGATAAATAAAGGCATCCCATAGTCTCATACTAGCATACAACTACGCACTTAAAAGATAACAACCTGCCCAACTCGTACAGCTTCCAGCAACTTTTCTTCGGGAAGAAAATTAGAGTACCCCTGCAACAATTAATCTGACCCGTGAGTCAGTTTGCGACAGTAACCGTACAGACATTGAGATTGTAAAGAAAAAAAGGGAAAATACCAGAGAAAGAGAATTTTATAGAATTGTTTTAAATTTTTCTCTAACTTGATGCTTATGTCTCGCCTCAATATCTGAACTAGCCTTTTAAACATTTATACCAATAAGTCAAAACGGTACTATGGTACCAAAATTATATTCGTTCCACAAAAATGGACTTAAAAATGCAATCCATCTGTGAAGAAAAAGAACGCAGCTGAACAGTATGGTAAAGAAAGCACATTCATAAGAATTAGCTAACTTCTGGTGCGAGTCTACCTCTATCATCAATATTGCACTATCAGTGCCTGCTAACAACAAGTCCAACTCAGATTCTTCCATCTCTTTAGTTGTTGGATTAACTATAAACTTATCACCAACAAGACCAATTCGAACTCCAGCGATAAGCTTTGAATTTGGCAATTCCGATAGGGCACTGTACAAGTTAAATGATCAGCCTAAAAAAATGTGTTCAAACGCAATTTATTAGACCTGCTCTAAAAGTGTTTGGAAGCACATAAAACGTTCATTAGAATTACACTGCTATTCCGGCGGCCGTGACTGCCAAAGAATCAGGAGAGTGCAAACCATCGTAACTCAGAACCTGCATGCATAAAGGAAAAATGGAAGTTCTGAGCGACATGAACACAAATGTCAGAAAACAATTCTCGCATACTGACAGTCTTCATAAAAGTACAAGTATACTAACATAATTACCAACACATACAAAAAGCATGTGGCAAATTATCAGTAATAGATCAAGTTCAATGATACATTAATCAAGCTTTCCTAGTGACTTTAGATAGAATAACGAGCAGTATGAATGGAACCTAATAGGGCTACAACTGGAACTTAATTCGGTTATAAATTGTAATAAGCACTAGCCACAGTTCTTTGGTTTGAAGAGTAACTTCAAAATCTTTGAAGTTGCTTCTCAATATGAGTTGTGTTCTTGTGAAAAATAATATTTCCAATTTCAATAGAATTTTCTTTCTTTCTAATAAAAATTAAACTAAGGGCTGCATCTTTTTTCCAGTTACGGATTGCATCAAATACGTTAGTTGATAAGCTCAAGATTTGGTAGGTATGAAGTTTTTAAGAGAAAGAAAGAGAGAGAGAGAGAGAGAGAGAGAGAGAGAGAGGAATACTACTAAACAGTCTCAAGCCATAAATTTTGTGAAGAAATTCATTCTGACGTACCCAAGATAGTATTTGAGTTTCATGGTAGAATCCTTTGGGCATTGTTGGACGCAGAGGCCTATCAATCAATCTACAAATGAGAACCTACATCAAACAGAGAAAAATCTCATAAAAATTGTCAAATGCAAACAGAATTGACACACTCATATGTCCTAAAAGGCTAAAACATTTATTTTTAATCTCAGAAAAGGTAACAGGGTGAAACAGCATATCAAAACTTCATAATTTATAAGTAACATTGCCAACAGAATCATAGATGAGGAACTCTCTCTGTATTACTTTGGAGAAAAAAAATATATAAAGGAACTCAGAATCCTGCACTCTCATGCAAGCCTACTTATCTTTGGAGACAGCTTCAACATCATAAGAGATTAAACTTTCTATTAATTAAGAATGTATACTATTAACAGAGAAACATATATATATTTTTTTTTTAAAAATGAATGTATTACAAATAACCAAAAAGAACGCCCTTTTGCGAGGATGGAACAAAGGGTTTTCGAGACTCAACGGATAGAAATTATTACCTCGTGATCTTTTGTCTTCCCTTCTCGTTTGAAAAACCCTCCACTGAAATAGTAATAGTTGTATAAGCACAAAAAGTCTCATGCCACAAGCATGAATAATTTTCTCTCTTTCTTAAAGATGGAGAATAAAGGAAAGTGAAAACAGATACCTAGTCCGACCTGCTGCTGAAAAACGCTCTTGGTAATTTACATTAAGGGGGAAAAAGTCCGAAGGTTCAGTAGGAGTATCAGCCATACAAACAGAAGTATAGACAATCTGCAAGGATGTGTATAAATCTTTTTTAAGTCTTCAGAACTACAAAAGCTCCAACCTTTATAGAAAAGAAGTTAACAACACAACTAGTCTCTGAAAAATAACTGACTCTGGTCACTAAGCAAATTTATCCAAGAAGTGTCATCCAATAATATATCCTTTTCAAATTAGATGAAACAGTAAAAGGGGTATAAACTAACAGAAGATGTCTTATTGGACGGCATACTTTAGACAAATTTGCATACCAATCAAAGCCACTCCTAAAAGAGGCATAACTAATGGTTCATCCACACCAGTTAACATGAAAGCATAGAAACTAAGACACCCAAAAACAAAACAAAATATATATATATATATATGTGTGTGTGTGTGTGTGTAAAATTTGAAGTCATTGATATCTTACAGTTTCTCCGTCTGTTACCATAACAGCTGCGCTGGCTTGTCGTCCAATATGGCCGGTCTCCACCAAAATCTGTGAACTCAGTAAATGCAAATCAAATAACTATTTTCTTAAGTAAACACTTTTACTTCATTATGGGCTTATGTGCCATTTGCTTTTATTGTTCTTGGCAGGACAAGTTTATCATCTAAATGATTTTCTCACCCTTCTTACAATATTATTCATTTTTTTTTTATTTACAAGAAAAATTGCAGATAAGAAGTTCTAAGAAAAGCTAGTAAAAGCTACGAGAAGGAAAAGGGAGCAATGGAAGCAAAGTAGGGACATATGCAATTCCGTATTTTCAATAACGAAAGTTCGAAAATTCGCATGAAACTTTTGCAATTGACAACAATAACAAGCATAGTAGAATTTCAGAAACAGAGAAGTAAAGACCAAGAAGCTCTCTAATAACAAACATAAGATGGCAATGTCACCAATATGCTAACTTTTTTTTTTATTCCTCCCAAAAAAAAATAGCCACGAGAACATAAGCGATTGAGTATTCATCAATAATGAAAGGAAAATGCAGTTTCGGATGAACTTTTCTCATTCTAATAACATAGGGAAAGAAATGTAACAGATTCTAACTAAACAAGAGATAAATACTAAAAAAACTACACACTTTATTAGTTCCTCAGCAGAAAAGTGCAATCTTTATAATGTGTAAACATGAAGGTCAAGAATTGAAGGGAGAGAGAAGAGAGAGAAACAAACATGTCGATCGCCGCAGGGGATTTTGACGGAGAAGGGCTGAGGGAGAGGTGGCGGAGGCTGGGAGAGAGCGGTACAGGAGAAGCGGCGGGAGGAGAGAAGGAGAGAGAGAGAAGGGGGCTTGGCGGAGGAGGAAGAGGAAGAGCCGAAGCGGAGGGAAGAGGAAGAGCGCCGCCATGGAGATGGTGGAAGCTTCTGGAGGAACTGGGGAGAGCAGCTTCCTCTGCTATTCACGCTAGGGTTCGCTTGCATGTTCTGCTTCCAAAGCTGCTGCTTCTTCTTCTTCTTCTTCTTCGTCCAGTAGACTTGTTCGGCTATGGCTACTGTCTGCTCTGCTAGAGCTTAAAGAGAGGGAGAAAGAAAGAGACAACTTTATCCGTTTGGCGCGAGGGTTGTAAAAGAAAGCTCTCTTTTTTTTTCTTTTTTGACTCATTTGTCATTAGGTGGGCAATGGTATTTGTGGGGAAAAATAAATGGAATGGATAATAAGAGAGGAAAAAAAACGCCAATGAAATATTAGAACATTTTCAATATACATGTTAATTATAAATTTAATATTTAAGTGTAAACAACACTTTTTAATATAATATTATTTGTTATATTAAATTTCACGTATGTTATATTTTGTGATATATTTTTTACTAAATATAACATATGAAAACTTTAGTATTTGATTGCTATTGGTTAAAATGTTTACTTTTTCATGTAATCAATATAATTTTTGTATTGTCTAAGTATTTTAAACATAAAAGTTTACTTTTACAACTTTCAAAACTTAATAATTATGAAAAATGTAAATTTCGCATTTTAAATAGCATTATGAATTAAAGCAAAAATAAAAATAATATATTATATCATACTTTTTAATGGTAAATATACAATTGACATTATCATTTACATTGGAGATGGTCTTATAATATTAAAACTTTTTCAAAAGGTGAGATTATATTTATTTCTAAAATACAAGTATTTGTAAGATTTTAAACACATTTATCTCCTAAACTTGTTAAAGTTAAGCAAAATATCTTCTAAATTTTTAATTATGACAAACAACCCCTTAACTGGTGAAACTATTGCATGTAACCCCATTTAACAAACTTCTATTTAGAAAATAATAGAAAAAAGGATAAACTTGGTATTTTAATGCCTTAATTTTCAATAAAATAGTAAAATCATTATAGACTAATCTCATTCATTAATCTTACAATCTTTTAATCTCAACCATCCATTCCATTTTAAAAGAAAAAAAGAAAAAGAAAACCAAAATCTCTCTCTCTCCCCTCCATATATATGCATTCAAGAACTCCTCTCTCTCCTCCATATGCATTCAAAAATGTCTATTCACATTCTGACGTCCATTTCTGACACAACCAGTATCATCAGAAAGCTCTCAAAAGCCTGAGTTTAACGACGTGCTGAACTAATAGTAACTCAGTCGAAAGCCGCCACAATCGTCAAAGAAATCTGTCAAGATACCCATTACTTTCCATTGCCATAACTCTGTCATCTGACAATTGGGATGATTTCAGTGGCTATAGATACAGATTGACGAGACAAACCAAAATTTAATAGTGGTGTCTGACAATTCTCGTTAAAAACATGTTATCAGAGCCTCCCATTTTGGCCGCCACGATACCCAACAAAAATCCCCATCCCGGCGGCGGTGAGGTGCACCGCCAAGCGCATTCAACTCAGAAGCTGACAGGGATAGTGAGAGAGAGAGAGAGAGAAGATTTTGGTTTTCTTTTTTTCTTGAAAAATTGAATACAAGGTTGAGATTAAAAGATTTAACATTAATGGCTGAGATTAGTCTATGATGGTTTATTATTTTATTTGATAATTAAGGCATTAAAATACCAATTTTATCCCTTTTTTCGGTTAGCTTTTTTTATAAAAAAAGTTTGTCAAATGGGATTAAATGCAACAGTTTTACACGCTTAAGAGGTTGATTGCTAAAATTAAAAGTTTGAGGGGCAATTTGTTAAATCACGACAAGTTTAGGGAACTAAAATCCCTATTTAAAAAGTAAGATCATTTCTTCTTTTTTTTTTTTTAGGGGAAAGAAAGATTATTTAAAAAGTGTTGTGAATGACAAATTTATTGTTAGGCTATGTCTAGTAGCTTGTATTTATAAGTTGTATTATATGGTGTTGTATTATTCAAATTTAATATGGTATTTGATGTCATGAGTCATGACATATTAAAGTTATTAACCTAACAGTATTTTTTTACACTGTATCGCACCATATTGTATTATTTATTTCTGAGTCAACTCCAACCACCGGGCAACCTGTACTCCTATACCAACCGGGCCAACCATGTCGGACCCAACACCAATCCAGGTCTTTTTGTAAAGTTTTAAGAAAATAGATCAATCTATATTTTATCAAAAATGGAGGGATCAAAGTGTAGTTTTAAAAAGTTAAGAGACTAAAATATAATTTTTAAAAAAATTTAGTGGTCAAAATAAAATATTATAAGAATAACGAGTCAAAATATAATTTTCTGAGTATTGAAGGGTCAACACTCAACATATATGAACGTAATAAACTACTAATGGTAACACGGTAGTAGTAATTGGATAGTTTTAGTAACACATCAGGCTACCTTTAGTACAACGACAAAGTTTTGTCGATAATTTTGTAGCCCACCACTTGCAGAAGTAGGTGGTGAGGTTACCGCCAGTAACCTATTATACATTGTTGTAGCAGCAGCTTCTTTGCATTGGCAAATAAAAATGGGTAATCTTAATAAATACCCTTTAAAAGTATATACGTCAGGATTTTTACTTTTTATTTTTTATTCATAACATTTTAAGGTAAATAACTACACTAACAAAATGGGTAGCAGCAGCTTCTTTGCATTGGCAAATAAAAATGGGTAATCTTAATAAATACCCTTTAAAAGTATATACGTTAGGATTTTTACTTTTTATTTTTTATTCATAACATTTTAAGGTAAATAACTACACTAACAAAATGATATTTATTAAGAATAAAAAATAAAAGTCCAGACTAAATTCTCCATTTTTCTAAAAAAATTCATGGGGTCTCATAGTCATCAGAAGTCCTTTTGAATATGACTTTCGGAAATTGTAGGACCTAACTTGGTTTGTTTTGATTAGTTTAAAGGTGGACAAACACGTTCTGTTCCGATATCTTCGAAGCTCACACACTTCTTCTGTGGACTACATTCGCAGCGCAATGGAATCACAAAAGGGATTGGAAGAGATGCCTTCGAGAAATTACAAGACGATTGATGGTGTAAAGGATTTTTTTTTTTTTTTCCTTGGCCTAAACCACCAAAATTCTTATGACAAACAATAGAGAAAATTACAGATTTTATTCTTTTAAGTACCTAACTTATTAAAAGTATTTCTTTTGAAAACATCTATCCTTGATTAATTTTTGTCTAAAAGATAGAAATATATAAACTAATGTTAAGAGATATAAATAAAAAGAGATTTTATTTTAAAGAGTATTTTTAAAAATTGCCTCATATATTATTATGCAGGGAAAAAAAAGCCAAAAAGTCCTGGACCTCTTCATCCCATGTACTTTGCAAGTGAAGTCGGTCAAATATATATAACTGCCACTGTGGGTTAATATCATATTTTCTTCCATTTTGATGGTACTTTCACTTCTTCGCACTTTAAGAGTGTCTTATTAGAGTTGTTGTTATTGTTTTATTAGTGTATTATAAGTAAAATTAGAACATTGTGATTATCGTGTATGTTAAGTAGGCTCGACAAACGATCAACACTAATATCATGAGTTTTACTAGCTCCAACCAACATTGATGGTAAACAGGGTGGAGCCAAAAAAAATAAGTAGAGACAAACGTATTATACATAGGAAAGACGGACATATATAATTTCTAAAATAAATTATAAATTTTAATAAAATATATATCATTTAAAGAAAATTAAGTGACGTACCCGTCCATCCTTAATTGGCTGTGGATATATGTGGGCTGAATAAACTAACCTAAAAATAAAAAATAAAATAAAAAAATAAAACTGCCAACATATAACGTTGCCGCATGAAATGGCGTAGAACCTTCCAACGAAATGAATACTCAAAGTTCATCATATCGGAAGAACTGAAGGCTGAAACTGTTGTTTAATTTTTCTGGTTTCAACTGAGAAGTTCAATAAACGTGGAACTCATGCATGTATATATTGTAACTAACTCCAGTTGACTTCTCTCTCTCTCTCTCTCTCTCTCTCTCTCTCTCTCACTCTTTCTCATTCCTTCT